AACCTTTCCATTCAATTTGACTTTGTGGCCCAGTTCTTTATTCTAAAGAGCCACACAAGAGTGGCTAAATAAGGGAGTTAATATAAACCTTCTCAAATTGAATTACTTATATCTCTTACAAAAGGATTCATTTAGGAGATACCCATTGTTTTTACTTCATGTTCATTTAAGGCCTCCTCATATTTTGCTTGTACCTGTTGCTATCAAATTGATTTTGATTCATATGGACCTTCTAACAAATCTAGCACAACAGAAGTACAACAGAAAATGAAATTCCCTGAACATTTTTGCCAATACAGTCTAAGGGAACACTTTTTTTTTTTTAAACTTTTTAATTGTGAATTGATTGAAGGTTAACATACAAGATCATCAGTTTGGCATTCAACAAATTATACGCTGTTTCATGTCAGTGATTACAATCCCCTCCCTGTAACAACAGTTATCTTACTTCCTCCCTGTGGCTTCCCTTTTACATCTTATATTTCACAAATGAACAAAGCAAAAATGTGATGTACACATATAAAATAAAAAATATTCATTTAATTGTCTTCAGAGCATATTCTGCAAGTCAGCCTCCTGCCCACAGGCACACAGCCTGATCAGTTCATGGGTCTAGCACCCACAGCTTTTGATAATAACTTATTGGAGCTAAATAGGGACTCAAGGCTTTACAATTCACTAAAATACTAACAATAGAAATGCTCCTGTACTAAATTGAAGGAAAGGTATAGGTTATCGGAGATTTACAACTTCATTTTGCCTTAACTTTTTGAGTATGGAACCTAGATAGTGAGACTAATGCATCTGGTAAAAGGCAACACAGTGTTGAGAACTGGGTAGCAACTGGATTGAATTACTACTTTGATAGTAACCAATGACTGGAAAATGCCTACATTAAGTTGGGGATTTGAGGTGTAATGAATTATCTAATATGTCTCTTCTAGCCTTAGTCTTTGTAACTACTACCAAACAACTCGTTCCCTGATGGGTCCAGGTGAGGGAAAGTGGGAGAAAATGCTGATTAGGATAATGTGATTCAGCTGTGGATATTAACAAAGTTAATTGTAATTGTAAAAACTTGACACTCTAACAGGGGTATACAATGAGTCATCTCAAAAGCGGAAGGGGGGATCGTATTACTTTCAAAGAAGTAGAGCCAGGAGTGAAAAACATATTTTGGACCCAGAGATCCCTGAATATTGAACCTCCATGACTCAGGGCCAGAAAGCTGTGTCACCAGAGGAGTGGCAGGTGGAGCAGAGACAGCAGAATCAAGAACCAGGGCACAAGACAGAGCAGTGTGTTTTCCAGCCCATAGAGCAAGTAAAGCTGAGTGACTTTGGCCAGAAGACTTGCTTGTAGAGTGGGGTGCCATAAGGCATAGTTGTTGGAGGAGCTTGGTTTGCTGACCTATGGTGCTAGAGCGGAGTGCCTTCAGGTTGAAGCTTATGGTGGAATGGTGGGAACTCTGAGCATTTACCAACAGCTCTAAAAGCGCTTTGTAACACTACTGTGGCAGAGAGAGGTCTACCTGTAGTCACGGCTGAGGAGAGACTGTCCTGATGGAAGAGCTGTGCCCTAAACATTTCTGACCCTGAATTGTAACCTGTGGACTTCCTTAATAAAGCCCATAACTGTGAACATGTGTTTGAGTTTGGCTTGGATTATCGAACCCAATAGAGAAGTAATGATTGCTATGGGAGGGATGGTTGATGCCATTGTAATTTTTGGCAGGAATATATGTGTAAATTTACTTAAAGCAACAGTGACTCTGTAGGAACCTCAGTCCACAGGCTAGGAAGGCGCTACATATGCGATCCCATAGTGCTTCTATAAATTGGCCACAATGTAATGAATAGATGAAAAAATTGATAATGTGCACCATAGGCAAGTGTGTGATGAAACACACATTCATATACTATTGACTATTGTTAAGTGCCGTTGAGTTGGTTCCAACCCATAGTGACCATGTATAGGGTTTCTGAGGAGCAGCTGGGGAGCTTGAGCTGCCAACCTTGCAGTTCAAATCAACTTTGCAGTCTGATGCATTAACCCACAGTGCCACACCAGGACACCAATTCTATTGGTAAGAATATAAATTAACATAGTCTTTGTGGAAGGCACTTTTGCTTTCACACAATCACAAATAATTAAATCACGTACTTTGATCCAGAAATTCTACTTTAAAGAATTCTCAGAAATTGTAACTTCCAGAATAGATGTCTACAAAAATACATGTATGCATTGTTTATTTCATAAAACTGAAAACTAATTCCAATAGTGGTGTCCTGGGGTTTTTTACTTAATTCACTATTGTCTAATCATCACAATAAACGCTAGGCCCATATCACAGAATCCTGGTGTGTCGCTGTAGAATAAGCACTGAGCTACTGATCACAAGGTTGACTCGACTGGTAACTGTGAGTTAGAATCAACCCGATGCCATTTACCAACAACAACAGGCCCATATCACAGATATAGAAACAAGAGGCTGAGATAGGTTAAGTACAGTGGTCCCATCTGGGGGCATCGAGGCTGGACTGTTAGAGGGACAACACCAAAATGACTATTACTCTCTAAGATTTTTGTGCAATGTTTCTGCAGAAATGTATTATATTGTAATAAAATATCCCTGTAGTTATAACCATAAAAACATTTTTCACATGCTCAGTTTTGATCTATATAACTATAGGAGTCCTGGTGTGGTGCTGTAGGATAAGCATTTGACCTTAAGGTCAGTTTAAACCTCAAGGTTGGTGATTCATGCTCACCAGCTGCTCCACGGAAACCCTATAGAGGGTTGCTATGAGTAGGAACCGACTTGATGGCTTTTAACAATAACAATATAACTACAAGGCTAAAACTCTATGCTGATTTACTTTTTGAGCCTTCTAATGTACTCTGGTCAGAACCGTCATTATTGCCCAATTACAGTGACATGTCAAATCATTTTGTGGTTTCATCTGCACATCCTATAAGTACATGCTGTTTTCATTGTTTTAGCATTTTTATAGCTACTAATTTTGTCAAATTTTGTGGTGTTTTAGCTACAATATTGTTGTAAGTAACATTAGTGAACCTGTATCAATTTTTTTTGAGGAGAGTAGTAATTAAAGGAAAAGAAGAAATATCAAAAGAGTCGTCCACTTTGTTACTAAAAGATGTTGTAACTAATAATGTAATTCATTTTAGAAAGATTTTACAATTTTTTTTTTTTTTACTATTCACATGAATAAAAGATTACTAAGAGATTATTAAGCAAATTACAATTGGATTTATCACATGTTTTTCAATGATTAAAGCTGGTAATAAGCTTTACCAAGGACTCTATCTAAGGAGCTCTGGTAGCAGAGTGAATTATGAGCTGGGCTGCTAACTGCAAGGTCAGCTGTTCAAATCTACCAGCCTCTTTGTGGGAGGAAGATGAGGTTTTCTACTCCCATAATATTTTACAGCCTTGGAAACCCTATAGAGGGTCACTATGAGTTGGAACCGACTTGGTGACACACAACCACCAGCTACCAAGGAGTCTGTCTGATCCAGCACAGGAGGAGGTCCGTGGGAGGGAGGTAACACCAACCCTGGTAATGCCATAACCTAAACTCAGATCACACAGCTAGTAAATGGCAGGACTAGAATTTAAAAAAAAGAAATGTCTGTAGAATTTAAAGTACAAACCATCTGGTAGAATTATTAAAGGGGGGAAATTGAGAAAAAGATTTTACATGCTGATGCTGCAATTTATAATATGACCTGAATTTTGTTGATAAAAAATATTCTTTCCAAATCCTGCTGTTCAACCTTTCAAAAATGTATTATGTAAGTGTATTTACTTGGCTTTCAATCTTATTTTGTATTACGGCTCATGCAAGGAACTTAAAAGTGACAACTAAACTTGTAACTTCACTTCCTGAAATTTTGAAACCATAGATTTGGTTGGACTCCGAGTGACCTGTATAGGGCTTCTTAGGCTTCAAATCTTCATGAGAGCAGAAAGCTTCATTGACTATGTTATATTTAAAACAGGGATAGGCAGACAGGGATGTAGGCTGGGGATGGAAACCTATGTCTAAGGTTAGGAACTACCCTTAAGTAGACTCTGGCCAAGTTACTATAACTTCTTGCAGTTAGTAGTCCAGTGCTTATTCAAAGCACCTTGGACTGCCAGAAGAACACACACACATAAAATCTGCATTGGACAAAGTACAGCCAGAATGCTCCTTAGAATAAAAGATAAGACTTCATCTTATGTACTTTGGACATGTCATCAGGAGGAAGCAGACACTGGAGAAGGTCACCATGCTTGGTAAAATAGAAGGTCAGCAAAAAAAAATAGGAAGATCCCCAATGACATGGTTTGACACAGTGGCTGCAGCAATGGGTTTAAATCTAACAATTGTGAGGATGGCATGGGACCAGGCAGTGTTTCGTTCTGTTGTGCATAAGGTTGCTATGAGTTGGAGGCGATTCAAGAGCACCTAATAACAACAACAACATGAATGAAAACTAGATAATCTAAGCCACCTCCTAGCTCTGAAATTTTCTGTTAAATATCTTTCATACCTGTGAGAAGTACAGGGTAGTAATTCTTTAAAAGAAGGGTTATTAGGAAAGAAAGGCATGTTGTATCTCTGGTAGCTGTATGATTAATATGCTGTCCATATTCATTTATCTTCAAGAGGTTTTCATTGGTTCCTTGAGGGTCAGCTAGTAATGAAGTTCCTTAATGAAAATAAAAGCAAATTTTCAAATGACTTAGAAATAAATATGAACCCAATCTTTTTTTTTTTTTAAATTGTACATTGTAAAACAATTTAAACATATAGAGGTAAGAACAATATTATTGCAAGTGTCTGAGGGTCTCTGCTGAGCTTTGACCTTGACTTTATTCTTTCTCACACATCGTTTCAGATGAACACAGTGCCCACATCCTTAAACGTCCTCACTTTCCTACCCCAAGTCTATTAATCTGTCCTTTTATGCAAGCATCTCATTTTGCCACAGTGAATTATTATGTCTCTTCTAGTCTCAATCTTAAGGAGCTCTGGTAGTGTAGTGGTTACGAATCAGGCTGCAAACCTCAGGGTCAGCAGTTCAAAACTATCAGCCGCTCCACGGAAGAAAGATGAGGCTTTCTGCTCCCATAAAGATTTACAGCCTTGGAAACCCTGTATAGGGTTGCTATGAGTCGGAACCGACTCCGTGGCACATAACAACAACAACAGTCTTAGTCTTTGTAACTCCCACCAAACGACTCTTTTCTTGATGGGTCTGAGTAAGAGAAGGTGGGAGAAGACACTGATAAGATGATAGATTCAGTTGTGAAGATTAACAGAATTAATTGTGATTGTGAAAACTTGGAACTCTAACTCTCAGAAGCAGTAGAAGGGAACTCACTACCATCAAAGAAGAGCCGGGAATGGAGCATGTCCTTTGGATCCCAAGATCCCTGCACACTGAACTTCCTGGACTCAGGGACAGAACGCTGTGACACTGGAGGAGTGGAAGAGGAGCAGAAGCAACAGAACCGAGAGCAAGAACTTGAGATAGAGTGGTGGGTGTCTCAGTTCACGGAGCAAGTGAAACTGAATGATTTCTGGCAGGAAACTTGCTTGCAGAGCAGGATGCCTCTGCAGGGAAATTGGTTTGCTGATCTATGGAACTAGAGTCGAGTGCCTTCAGGCTGAGGCTTATAGTGGAATGGTATGCCCTGTGAGCATTTATCAGCAGCCCAAAAAGAGCTTTGTAACACAGTGAAGATATAGGCCTGCATGTGGGTATGGTGGAGAAGAGGTTGCCTTGACTGGAAGAACTGCCCTGAACATTTTCTGATCTTGCATTGTAATCTGTTAAGTTCCCTAATAAACCCTGCAACTATGATAATGGTGTCTATGTGGCCATTGCAATGGATTATCGAGTCCAGTTGGGTAGCGAGTGCTGTGGGAGGGACAGCTGGTTTATATTTTGCTTCATCTTTCCTCTTGTAAGAATGAGGGAGAGACTATCCTGCCAAGTCCTCTTGCAATCCTTTTTAAAGATCCCTTTGGAAACTTTTTCCATCATCAGTCTTTTCCTTTCTATTGGGATTTTTCATAGTACAAACATGTATGTGCTAGTATCTCATATCTTAGAAAAACTAACATTAATATAGGATATTATACATGAACTAAAACACACACGTACACACTCCAAAATCAAACCTTTCTTGATTCCACAGCTTTCTATAATATTACCCTTAATTCTTTATTCTATTACACATTCAAAATTCTCAAAAGCATTTAATACAAATAGTCTCTATCACCTCCTCTATTATTCACTTCTTTAAAATTAAAAATGATAGCTAATATATTCGCATGGTGCATAATTCAAAAGTACATAAAAGTATGCAGTGAACAATCTCTTCATCATGCTAGACACCCAATTCACAATTTCTTCTGCCTTTTTGGGGGCTATCTTTTAGAGATCTTTCAGTATCAGTACATGGAAAACACTTTTTCTGATCAACATTATTCCATTTTATGACTATAACATAAGTTATTTCACCAGTGCTCTGATTATGGAAATTTATGGTATTTTATTCTACTATTATAAATTAGTAAGGGTGAATTTATGTAGTACGCATGTGGCATTTTGCAAATATGTGGAATTCATGTAAGTGGCATTTTAGGTCAATGTAAACTGGCAATGATTTTGATAGATAATTGCCAAATTGTTCTCCAATATTTGAGAGTACTCCTGTCCTCACAATCTGGACAAATGTTTTGATCCTTGCCAATATTAAAGGTAAAAGATGGTATCTAAGTTGCATTTCTCTCAATTACAAGCCAACTCTTTTTATATTTAAGAACCATTTTAGAATACTGCTTAAATATTCAATCTGAAAAGAGCCCTGGAGGTGTGGTGGATTATGAACTGGGCTGCTAATCACAAGGTCAACAGTTAGAATCCACCATACACTCTGTGAGAGAAAGATGAGGTGAGGCTTTCTGCTCCTGTAAAGATGTACAGCTTCAAAAACCCTACACACAGTCACGGTGAATAGGAACCAACTCAGTGGCACAAAACTACTACTAACTACTATTATATCTGAAACGAATAAATTAGTGAATGTTGAGTGACCTTCAAAACACATCCTCTGCTGATAATAGATTAGGATTATTCTTTTAAAATGAGAACTATTATAGGAAAAAGCCCTATTCAATCATAAAAGTTGATTTTTGAAGCATGTCTAGGATGTCCAAGCAATCTGTTATATTGTGGTTTACAGTGGAAAAAGTGATATTGTGACATTTAGGCTCCTTTTATAGGTTTGGGTTTAAAAACTTGAGAGAGTTTTAATTTCTTCTTAGTCCTTTGCCTACAGAAAATTCTGACTTGGGAAAGCAACCTCACGGTGCCCTGTATAGGGTTTCTGAAGCTGTAAATCTTTATGGGAGCAGAAAGCCTCAGCTTTCTCCTGCTAGAGCAGCAGGTGTATTTGAACTGCTAGTCTTGTGGTTGGCAGCCCCATGTGTAACCCAGCAAAATACCAGAGCTCCCAATAATACTGTGACAAATTATTGTACACTGTAACTTTGGTGTTTGTAACTCATTTAGGATCAGAACTTTCTGAATTTTTCAGGGTCATGATATTTCTGGTTATTTTCAGTCAAAAACTCTTACAATCAGACTTCTAAAATTCTTTTTTGATAAGAGAAATATGACTTCAAAGTAATTCTGTTCAATTTTCATTTACTGAGTTTCTTATATTTGCAGGAACTCTACAAGAAGCTTGGCCATTAAGTTCCTGCACCAAACTTATACTAAACTCTGAAAGTGCAACAAGTTTCTATATGTTTCCTTATACTTAAAGAAGCAGAAAACTGAGAATAAAAGTAATTTAGCATATAGGTGTAGTTGTCAAATTATTATTCTTCCTGACTAATTGCGATGGTCACAACTGTAAAGATAGAAGTTTTGTAACACAAAAGGGGGAGTAGTAAATCTTACATTCCAGGAACATAGGACCCTAGGATCATCAAGGGAGAAAAGCAGGAGTGGAATGTGGGACCCTATCCAGAGAAGCAGTGACACCAGAGTTGGAGGCAGAGATGATGACCTCTGGAGAGAAGGAGCAGCTGATGATTCTAGATTCATGGAAAGAGAAAGGCTGTGTGCTGGCGGTTGGGAGGTAGACTTGCAAAATGTGCCCTTTTGTTGTTTAAATTATTATATATTCCTGAGTGTTTTTGTGTACACCCCTCTCAAAAGCCCCCAAAAGCCAGAGGGAATAGAAGCAAATACTACTGAATGATGATACAGTGAGGGGATTGTAATCATTGCAATGAAATGATGAGTGTAAAAAAATAATTCTTGGCAGCTGCTTTTATAACTAAGTCTAAGTTCTTACATAAAATGTTTCTATTCTTACATAAATGTCCTCTCACTTTTCTCCTGTCAATAATTACAGCTAATTAAAAATTTTCCTATTGGTAAGACCTTCAACACACACTAGTTTTATAATATCTGATTTCATCACATATATTCCAAATTTCTCAAAGTAATATTCAAAGGTTATTTTTAAAGGTACTTTTTATGAACATAGATCTAAACACAAACTTGGAGTGTGTCAGTCCTCAGGGTTGCTTGACATGAGCACTTTCATAAATAGATTATTCCCAATATTTCAGAGAAGACAGACTGTGATTATTAAAATTATTCTTACCTCTTTGAACTAGTGCCTGAGCACTAGGAACTAATTCTGACCAAGGTATGAATTCACATTGCTGCATATCCACAAAATACCCAAAGATAGAACATTTACCAGTTGGTAAGTGGATGCCTACATTAGAACATGATAAAAACATAAGTGTAAATTATAAAACAAGCTAATTTGTGGAATATTCAAATAACTATATGATCTACACCTGAATGAGTCCTGGGGTGGTGCTTTGGGTTAATGTGCTGGACTGCAAGGTCAGTTTGAACTACAAGGTCGGTGGTTCAAGCTCATGAGTGGCTCCTCGGAAACCCTATACAGGGTCACTATGGGTCAGAACTGACTTGATGCCACTCAACAACACCTGGATGATTTGATTTTTGGACCCAAACTAAGTATTTACTAAGGATATATCTGGCATTATGACATTTACAAAAAATATAAAATGAATATATCAAATAAGTTTATCCTTTTTTTCTTGAATATCTTATTGTATAGAATGAAAATTCATTAACTTTTCATAGCTAAAAAACGAGGTGAATCATGATGTGTTATTCTTTGAAATTTAACCCAGAAGTCTTGCTCAAAGTGATATATTTGGATATTATTAAACACACATAATATATTAGTTGCAGTCAAAGCAATGCATTAGAGAATTTCAATACTTATGAGTAACTATCAATAACATTTATTTTCCTAGTATAAAAGTAATAAATTCTTAGTAGAAAATGTTCAGAAATACAGAATAACAAAAGCAAAAGATTTTAACCAGGAATAACAGTGTTAATGTTTGATATATATTTTTCGGTCATTCAAAAAAATTTTACGTACAGTAAAATTCAATTTCTTTTATTTTGCTATGTAGTCCTATGGGTTTTTTGTTTTAGTTTTCTTCCATGTGAGTGGAAACTTGTAGCCACCACCACGGTTAGAATACAGAACATTTCCAACACCCAAAGAATTTTCTGGAGTCTTGGTGTGTCTCTGTAGTGCTAGACTGTTAACTGCAAGGTAAGCGGTCAAAACTACCAACCACTCCTCAGAAATCTTTTACAGGGTCACAGCAACAACAAAGAACTTCCTAGTGTTATCTTTTTGTAGTGGAACTCTTCAATCTACAACTTTGGTAACCATTGATCTATTATTCTTTGTTTTGATATTTTTGCCTTTTCCAAAATGTCCCAAATAGGATCATACAGTATGTAGCATTTTGATACTGGGTTCTTTTACTTAGTAGTATAATGCATTCAGGATTCACCCATTTTGCACTTTTTTATTGTTGAGTAGCGGTGCACTAGTAAAGTGCTCATTAGTTAGCTGAACAGTTGGCAGTTTGAGCTCACTCCTGAAAATGTGATCTCTATATATTATCTATAGATTATCATGCTTCAAATGGATTTGCTATAGATAACATATATATTTTTTTCATGTTTTATTGTGAATTACGTGATAGTTTACATGGGAGAACATTAGCTTTACATTCGTCCTATCAAATATCGTTTCATTGCCATGGTTACAATCCCTTCCATGCGTCATCAACCAACCAAAGGGTATACCCTACAAGTCTGTACCTGGATCCTCAGAACACAGCCCCTCTCCCTTTCTAGGTCTAAAGTTCCCAGCTGCTCCATCTCTCCACG